ATTGACACAAGGCTGAAGGGAGAAAGCCCCATGAGATCACGTGTTTTAGATTGTGATATTCAAATCATTCACATCAAGCTTGGAGATTTCCTGGGAATTCCAGGAATAGGGAGGTTATCCTTGGTCCTTTTTTGCTCATCATGTCCTTACTTATCTGGTCACACAGGGCCGACATTCTTCTGTTGTTTTTCTCTTGCATTATCACTTTAAAATCAATTTGCTCAATTTGTTTATTGTGTTGTGGCGTGCAAGAATAATGTTAATTCATGTCTCTTTTTCCACCTTGCATACAGATACTGGTTCCAGACTCCAGAGGCATGGACAATTGACGAGCACTTCCGATCTCTTATGTACATGAGGCCACTGGCAATATGGGGCATGCAATGGGCACTATCAATACCCAAGAAAATTCTTGATGCTCCCAAAATCAATATGATGGACAGACTCCGCATTTCTCCCGTTAGTTCAAGATTCTCTCTGAGTCTGAGTGACACCGGTATTGGGAAGATAGCAAAGAAAGCAAAATGTTTGGGGAATTCCGTATTAAACTGCGCAAGCTGATATTGCATGTAAGATCTTTTCTGCAAAACAATGTTCGTTAAGTTTTTTTTATTCCCTTGAACCCTTCCTGGAAGAACTAGATGCAGGTATGGGATGGGGAAGTTTTTCACTGGAGTCAGATGAATGAAAACTGTATCCAATTAGGTTGACAATTATAGAAATACTTTTTATTTATGAAAGTATATAGTTCTTTGTTCCTTTCAATTTAATCACTAAATTGAGTTTGTAACAGTTTTTTTGCATCCAAAATACCCATGTCATTCTTGGTTTGTTTCCGATCCTAGCAAAAGGGAATTTTCGGCAAGCATCTAGAGTTGGAGATCTCAGAACTCTTGTAACAAATTTATTTACCTCATAATTATTTGGGCTTAGAAAAAATTAATAAACAATAATTGTGTTTTTAAAATGCAAAATCGAGATTAAAGGAATCATAACATTGATTAGACTTTATCATGATTTAGGAAAATGCCCTAATATTTAGACGTTAGTATGCCATTACTGTATGAGATGAAGAGCCACTTTCTATTAACTACTTAAGTTTTTTATTTTTATTTTCATAGGATGATGAAGAGTTGTTGATCCCATCTCAGACTTTATAAATATTACCTTTTTATGTCGATCTTTCTTTGAAAAACGTTCTAACAAAACCTTCACAATCGTGTACATGGTGTTTTTTTACCTAGAAAATTTCATATCTTGTTAGGCCACTAAATAGTTAATTGAATAATAATTTATGAATATATTGTTATGTAATATGACACAATCAGGTTACAAATAAAATAAACTACAAACTCAATTATAACTTACAAGAAGTCACGCTACACCTTGTCTTGACTATGTTAAAAACTTAAATTATTTTATTATATTTTTTATTCTGTTTGACAATAACTATAACTATCGTTTGATTAAATTGTTATTAGTGAAGTAAAGTGGCCAAGAAGACTCATATAATTTGAGCTTAAGCTGCACCTTATTGAGTGTTTTTTAATAGTTTTGCAGTCCTCAATTTTTTTTATTTACTTAAGATTTAAATGCAAAATCACTAAAAGGTACCACAGTCCAAAATTTGTTTACAAAATCATATTCACGGTTTTTTCCGTGGGATTCATGAAGAATGAGGAGTCCAAGTTTATAAGCAAAAATATTGTTTTCATGTATATCAGATGTATCTAACATACAGGAAGCAAAATGGCATTTATCTGAGTTTCATTTACTAATGCTGTTAAAAGGCAACTTAAAAAACTGCTGTTGAGGCCAAATACATATAGTCAATTGCTAATGTTAATTGTGCTTTCTTCTTCTTGTTGCTATTAGCTATATGCTAGGTCTGCTTAATATTTCAATGATATTTAAAAAAAAAATCATGGATATTGAAATATTGCGGTAAACTAATACTCAAATCCAAAATCTACTCATCGTAGAAATCGGTTATGACTTTGTCATCACAACCTTTGATCATGCCGACCTTTTTTTTGATAATCTACATATTATTAAATAAA